TGATTGATTGATTTTTTTAAAATTCTTTTTTGTTTTGTTTTGTTTTATGATAAATAAATTATTATATATGATTTTGTTATTTCCCATTCCATTTAGAAATAAAATTCATTTATAGAAAATTTTCTACTAGTGTTGATTGTTTGATTTTACTGATGACTTGTTTGGGCACATGGTTTGAGAATATATCATCGCTTTTTTTTAGTAGAATTGAAAATTTCCATTCCTATACATTTCCTGTGCGTGTGTGATGTTGTTATCGTTGTTGTTATTGACATGTAGTAGTATAATAGCACCGGATAAATGTTTGTAAAATGTATGTGTTTGTTGTATAGTCGATGTCTATGATCTTTCATTCATCCATTCAGTCATTGATCCATTCATTTTGATTGTTTATGTTTGATGATGGAATATATTTTCGATTACGTAACTATCATCTTCATAATGATCATTTAATTGGCCAGTTTCAAATTCCGATTTTTGAATTAGAAAATGGAAAAAAATTGTTCATTTTTATTTCATTTTCCAAGTCACAAAAAAATCAACTGATGATGGCAGGTTTTTTTGTGATTTTCTAATTTTTATATCATCCATATTTTTCATTTTTTTTTTTTGCTAACTTCCCCACCTTATAAAGGGGATGAATTTTTCGACCTTCATTGCCAATCGATCATCATCATCAATTAGACTTTCGTTTGCGTTTTGATCAAATTTTGTGATTATGTTTAATCATGATGATGGCAAATAATTCTCGAAATGCATCATTGCTCATCATCATAACATTGCATAGTGATGTTTTTTTTTTGTTTCCATTGTCAAATTTTTTTCCCCTTTCTTTATCATTAAGACTATTTCCGAAGTATTGGTGATGGATGATTGAATTGTAAATGACTTATGTGTGTGTGTGGTGTTGACAATATTTCTTATGGCTATTGATTATGGATTTTTCTTTATTTTTTGCCCGTCAATTTATAGATTCACAATATTAATAATATTTTTGCTTGACTTTGATTTCTCCAGTGATTTTTTTTTAATGTCCACACACAGAAACACTCAAACAAAATTCTCAATTTTTTTTCCAATTTCTACATTTTGATCTAACACAATATGACCAAGTTTGAAAATTGTGAAATTGTTAGAAAAAAAAATAAATAAATTGTTGGAGATAATAAAGAGACCGTTAAGCTTGACTGGCTGATTGATTAATTGGAAAAAAAGAGCGAACGAGCAATATTGAGATATATAGAATGGCGTCCTGTCCTTGAGGACCTCCAGCTATGGCATCTATCATTATCAAAGTCAGTGATTGGAAGAGATTTTTGTTGTTGTTGTTGTTGTTGTTGTTGCTGTTTGTATGGACCTATTTCAGACACTTAACAATTTTGATGACAACGAAATGTCGCAAATGAAAGAAAAAAAAATAAAAATAAAATGGAAGTTAAAGAAATGACCATGATCCTAAAGTTGGCTGTCGATAAAATGAAAAATGAAACTGAAAATAGATTCATTATCAAAACGATGGAAATGGGAAAATTTTTTTTTTTTAATTTAATCCCTGTGTGTGTAGGAAAATAGTTTCTTTAAAGAAACAAAACAAAAAAAAATTCCTGACAATTCTATTGTTTTTTTTGTCATCAATTTTTTATATCAATGTATTTTATACTTTTTTTCAGGTTTCAATTCATCAACATTTTTATCTAATTTAAATCCATTATGTTTCGTTTCGTTTCGTTTCGTTTGTTTGTTTTACAATATACACAGTGATTGATGAATGTTGTTGATGTCATCAATACAATAATAATGATTAATCATAGCTTCAATTTGGCATCATATTCTTTTTTTTCCAAAAAAAAAAATCATTCTCTATACCCAGTACTCATTATTGTAATTGACCTTGAAGAAATAATAATAATTCTTCGTTGAACCTTTTTTTCCTCATTGTTATCGATGATTATGATGTTTGAGATTGAATGGATACAATGGATTTATTTTAAAATTGATTCTTCATAATTAGTTTTGTTTCTTTTCTCTAATTTCAGCCATATACAGGTATATGCTTCAGATTCAATTGCTACAAATTATCATCAATTTTTAAATAAATCATCCCATGCTGAAATTTAAAATTCTTCATATGATTCATAATATTTTCATCATATTATTATTCTTTGTGCGAACTAATCGTGCTCGACAATAGTGATTTTTTGTTGAAATAATGAAATTAGTATTTAGACTGGAAAAAAACAGTGACACATTCATATTCGAAAATCTTTTTCTTTTTTGTTTTGTTTGATTGTATTATCATCAAAATTCTCTATGTATGTACACTGTCATTGTCAGTGAAAAATTTTCCTAGATCTTTGATATGCGAAGAATGAAGAATTGAAAATAAAATTATAAGCCATCACACACATGTAGACATATTGAAAAAACGATCGATTCTTTTAAGAATTAGATTCCAAAGAATTCTATTCAATCACGATTCATCATCATCTCTAATTTTTCTTCATGGTTGTTGAGTTGCATTTGATTTGCTATTTTTGAACAAAAAAAAAAAAGAAGAAAAGAATTGAAGCAAAATAAACCTATAACTGTCATCGTCGTCATCAACATTAAACTACTGCTTGAATCATCATCATTAAAATTATTACGAAAATGTAAGGATCATACTTCAACATCACAAAATCATCAGTCGATTATTGAACCGATTAGTATAAGTAGATCACATCGATCACTCAATTTTTTTTGTTCTTCTTGTTTTTATTGTGCGGAAAAAATCAACGTCAAAATTTTTTTATTTCAAACAAATTCCGATAGGAAAAAAAAGAATTGAATTCTTTTTTTTTGTCTTCGAACATTTTGTTGAACGACAAATCTGAGCCAATCATTCACATGCATCACGAAAAAAAAACATTTTATTCTTTCATCATATCTGTGATTTTTTTCCTTTCTTTTCAGCTCTATCTCACTATACTTTGCATTCATTCAATTTGATTTTTTGCAACATTTGTCACAATTCATTTGCGCTCTATTTGTTTTTGTTTTTGATCTTACCGTCATTTTTGGCAAATAGTCGTCAGTAGAAAAAAAATCAAAAGAAAATAGAAAATCATTTCGAAGACGAATATTTTTGGAACATATATTCAATAATTAGCCGTGTAAAATGATCTTGTGAAATTGAATTAAAAAATCACATTCATTATCTTGAATGGTCCGGTTTGTTTGTTCGTTCGTTCGTTTGATTTTTTTTTGTTTATGAAATACAAACAAATGTAAAAAATAAAACATCAAAAACACGAGTGAGAGAGAGAGAGAGAGAGATTGAATTGAGAAAGATTTTTATCTATAAAATCATTTTTTAAACTGATCAAAAAAAAAAAAAATTCATTTATTTATCCTCAAGAAGTAAGATAGAAAAAAAATGCAAATCAACGGATTAATCAATCATGAATAAATGATGAATGAATTGAAATTAAAAAGTCAGTGAGATCCATCTTTGTCCATTCCGTTTTGTTAATATTATTTTTACTATTTCATGAAAATAACCTTGAAATATTTAACTGAAACTAGAAAAAAAACTTTCATTCAGACTTTCATTTTCCAATTGTTTTCTTTTTGTTCAATATATAAATAATAATTTCGTTCCTCTTTTTTTTGTCAAATAGTCGTTTTTTTTGTAAATTTTTCCGGTATTGAACCATATTGTATGTATAGTTTGTCTACGAAAGAGAAAAAATGGAAAAAAACCGCACCAGATATTTTAATACATAGAAAAAATAGATCAATATGTAAAACAAAAAATCATTTCAATTTCTAATCGATTAATCCCAATTTAATATGATTTTTTTTTGCATCGATAAAAACATTGTTTGTTTCATCTTTTTTTTTATCGTCAAATATTTGGTCATTCATAACTATATGTATACTGACCTGATCATCACGCGTCTTTCGATGAGTTTATTCTAGGAATCATTTCATTTCAATACAACTATACTTTTTATTATGTGATTTAAAGAATTTTTTTCATATTAATAATTCAAAAATAAAAAGGCAAAAATATTCTCTGTAAAATGCTGTTCATTCTTCTTGAGAGGTTCTCAAAATAGTGCCTGTTTTTTTCTCTCTTTTTCTCCCAACGAAGAATAATAAACCGATTGTTAATTCTGACACGCACATACAGTTTTTTTTTTTTTATTCTTTGTTCATTTTACAATTCTAGTGAATTTTGGTCGTTTTTTATATTTCCATGCCGAAATACTATCTTTTGGATTTTTTTTTTTGTTTTGTTTTACCATTTCAAATTTATTGCCTTACATTTTCATTCGTGAGCATCTCGCCAATAAAAATGGAGCTGAAGAGAATAAAAAAAAAAAAAAAATGACCTCAAAACAGTAAAAGAGAGAAAGAGAAACTGAAAACTAAGGATTTTTCCCATTTACATAACACACACACGCACACACACACAACAACTTGCTATGACATTACGAAACCAATTACAAAATGTTCGTTTATCTTCGTTTGCTGTCTGTTTTTTACTGTTATTTTTTTTCTCTAGTTTCACACTTTAGTTGAGTAAGATACGAAATAAAGAAAAAAAAATGTGCGTTAACATGTTAGTAGTGTGGTTGAAATGAAAGATTTTTTTTTGTTTTTGTTAAGAAATTTTTTTCAAACTTATTGATTGTATATGATAATGATGATAAGATTGTTGTTGTTTTTGTTGGCCATATTGACTTATTTATCTTCAATGACCAGTTACCAAACGAAATTGCACTAATTGAATAATTAAAAAAAACTAATTGGTGATTTATGTGTTTGTTTGTTTGTCTTTTGCAATTTTTTTGCTAATAATCCAGCAGAAGACCGATAGAATTTTGAATAATTTTCATTGAATTAAGAATTAATTTATTGATTTTCATTTTAATATTTTTTTTTTTTTTTTAGATTTTTATTGTTCATATTGATTCTTTTCATCAATAATAATAAAAAAATTGGCCCAATAATAATTGATCGTTTAATAAACGACGCTTTGTTGTTGTTACACCTATGTCTAATTTACCGACAACAACAGCGGATACAATAATATACAATACATTGGGTCATAGTGATGAGCATAGTACAAGAAGTGAAGAAGAAAAAGAAAAAGAAAGAGTTAACGAAACGACGAATCAACAAATTATCGTGAAAGAAGTCGACGAAACGATTGTACAGCAAAAAACTTTAGAAGGTTTAGGTGCACGTCTAATACGTATAGTTGGAAACGATGATGAAAATGATAATGATGGTGCTGTAATTGGCCAAACAACGGCAGTGGCCACAACAACAACAATAACGGATAATAATACTGAAACTGAACCATTTCCATCCGGTCATATTGAAGATTATTCGGAATATTTATTTGATTCAAATTTACCATCACATTCGACCTATAAGCAGACAAATTCTTCAATTATAATTAATGATAATAATTGTCAAAAACAACAATCAAAAGATGCTATCAATCATCATCAACAATTAGATACGAATACGGATCCTATATTAAGTTTTATTAATCTAGAACAACAACCAAGATCCGAACAAGATCTTTTGTCTCATCATTCATTTGCATCGTCATCCTTGTCATCATCATCATCGTCTTCGTTGTCACATCATCATCATCATCCTCAGCATAATACGTCAAAGACAAGTGAAGTGGATCTTTATATCCAACAACAGCAGCAAAGCAATATTCATACAACTGTAGTGACCAGTATTGATACGGATAATAACGAAAATAATAATAATCATCATCATACACAGCAATCATTATCATCATCATCAATAACAACAACAGGCAACGATTATCTTTTATTTGATCCATCATCAATGGTTTTGCTTGAGGAAACGACGCCCGATATTTTGTCAACAGTTGTTGGACAGTTGCCCGAAGACGATAATAATAATTCAGACATTGTTCATCATACAACAAATTTGTCTAATAATGATAATAATACTGGTAATGATAACAACAATGATGATGGTGGTGACAACAGGTTGAATACAATCCAAGATAATAGTTTTTCTACAAAAATTGATTATTATTCAACAGTGGCAACAACATCGCCACCGACAGCTACAACAACAACGACGACGACGACGATAGAAGCGACATCAATAACAACGACTATAAATGAATTAGGATCCACTCAGGTATGATTCACATAAATCAAGAGTGAACAAATGACATTGAATTCTATTCTTTTTCACTAATTATTTGTTTAATCGTAGCATCATCATATTCATCATCAAAATCAAAGTTCAATGTCGCAACAACCGCTGCCAACATCTTCCTATGAACATCAACAACTTCAACAAACGCAGCAGCATCATCATTCTCAGTTTAATGAAACCATTTCAAAAATTTCCGAAATCAGCAATAACGGTAATGTTGTTGTTGGTGGTGGTGGTTGTAATGATAATTATGTCACACAATCACAATCGCAACAACAACAACAACCGTTTGATCGTATGAATGGAAATGGAAAGAATGTTAGCGGTACTAGCATTAATAATACGATTGTAGGAAATGATCATCATCAACAACAACATCAGTATCAAAATCCAAATCAACCAAATAAACAACCAGAAACATTTATGATGGCAAATGATAGTAATAATAATCCTTTAATGACGACAACATCAAGCTGTGAAAACATTTCCTGTGCTGCTACTGATGTTGCCGCTGTCCATGAAGAATCATCATCTTCATGTATTGGAACGCATCAACAGCAACAAGAAATGAGAAATGTCAATGTGGGTTTATTAGGTTCAACAGAAACAACATCCATTCACACGATAACTAATGATGAAATAACGGCAGCAATGATGGTCGTTACAGATCCAATGCAACCGCAGCAACAACAGCAATCATCTTTATCATCTCTAACATCATCGACGACAACAGTAAATACTTTGTCAACAACGGGTCATCATCATCACCATCATCATCATTATCAGCAAATGGGAAATAATGATCAGAGTAATAGTGAATACATAGCTTCAGGTATGTTTCAAAGAATGTTGAAAATGAATGAAATTTTTTTTTGTTTACTATGATATCGCTAATGTAGCAATAGATACGACAATGATGGAATCTCATAAATTTCCTGAGCAGCAGCAACAGCAGCAGCTACATTTACATCACTTATCTGATAAAGATATTGAAAGGCAACTTCATCTTCAACAATCGCATCCACAATCGGCTTCAACGACATCAACTTTCTCATCGACATCAGGTTCAGCTCAATCATATCAGCCAACAAATACAACAACGTCTATTCCACAACAATTATTATCATCATCGTCATCTACATCGACCATAACATCATTATCATCATCTTCAGTGGCTAACCAAGATGATGATACAAATCAATTGCTCAATGCCATGATTCCTACTAATTTATATGATTGTAAGTTTCATTCAAAATTAGATTCATCTTCATATAATAATAACTTAATTTCAATTGATTAGGCTACAGTAGTGATTCGGATATAAGATTACATCATCATCATAATCAACAACAACAGCAAACACAGATAAATCATGATGATAAATCACAACAACAACAACAACATCAGAATATAACCGTTCCTAACATCGAATCGATGAATCCATGTCTTTCAAGTGATGATACTAGCTTATATCAACACCATCATCAAGAACAACAAACTGGTGATTCAAATGGTGGTCATAATAGTGGTGGTGGTGGTGGTGATGGTATTGATCGGGAAAATTTAATGTTACAGCAACAACATCACCATCATCATCAAATTAACACCGATAATCAACAGCAATCTGTTATACCTCATCATCAAACATCATCAACACAATCATTGACGACAACAACAACCGTAACAACATCAACTGCAACGGCTGATCAATCATTAGGATTAGAACAATCGGAACAGTTATATCATCATCCACAACAACATCATGGCCATCAGCAAATTGGTAAATTCAGAATTATGGCCTAAACCTTCCTAAAACCTGGCCTAAAATTCTACACTTTTCAATGTTTTGCATATTTGAAACATTTTTTTTTCAATTGGCTAGGTTTAAGTCTGATTAGATATCTGAACGTTTATGATTTCATCTTATTTCATTTCTATTTTTAATAATTAGAGGGAGAAAAAACATTTATCGATCATCATCATTGATTCGATAGGATGATTTAATAATCATAAGAGTGAAATAAAAGCAAGAAACTGAATGATGAGCCATAGAAAAACAAGATATGAATCTTTGCAATATATACCATAGACTAGGATTATACCAGACCCAGGGAGGACAAGAGTACATGTCCTCCTTTTCAGAAACTGTATTAAGCGAGTTTTCCAATAAAAAAGATTTTTGTCCTCAATCCGTTGGCCGATCTGGCAACCCTACCGTAGACATACATCTAAAAAGAAGTTCTGATTAGAAGAAAGATGGCATTTTTTTTTTTTTTTTTTTTTGATTCAAAATTCATTTATTTGATTTGATTATCACTCTTTCATTTTTGATTTCGAATAATGAATGACAAAGAAAAAAAATTAATGTACAAAAAGCTACATACATTTACCTATATTTACATAACTAAAAACGAATAGTTGGCCAGAGAGAGTTTTTTGTTATGGATTTTTCTTTACCTATGAATTTTGTGATAACATATCGTATTGAAAATTGATTCAAATTCATCTGATTATGATGAAATCAATCAATCAATTGTCCATTTTTTTCCTAAATCTGTCATGGTAGTTATGAATTGTTTGAAAATTATTTATTCTTTTCAAGAATAAATAAAATGGAATGGTAAAAAAAGATTATCAAAAAAAAAAGAATCAAAAACAAAAAATAACTATGTAGTGAATGGGAAACAAAATAAAAAAATTTGCTCGAAATGTGAAAATCAATGGCTTCCAATTTGATGTGTGTGTGTGTGTGTGTGTGTGTGTGTGTGTGTTTTTCGTACTTCTATCGATTCAGATTATTACTACTTGCTTTCACTACGATACAAGTATCAAATAGTTTGTATCTCTTATTTTAAAATCAATAGAAAACATATTCATATTCATATACAAATATATAAAAATCTAAAAATTCTTATCACTACACAAAATCAGTTACACGTGTGTGTGTGTGTATGTGTGTATGTTTAAAAATTAAACGTACACAATTTCAATTTCCTTTTTAATAATAATTCAACAAAAAGAAAAAAATATTTACGATTTCACATTTTTTTTCTTTTTTTTTTATCACACACATACAAATATCATATATAGTTCAATCTACAACCAATTTGGAACTACAACAACAATCACAACAACAGCTTGATACATATAATATTTTGTCATCAACATCAACATCATCATCGGCGATAACGAATCATAGTAATGTTACATCAGCAACAATGATTGAAGTGCCTAGTTCGTCTACACAACAACAACAGCAACAACAGAATTCACATTCACTACAACCACAACATCCACCACCATCATCATCATCATCTTCGTTATCTTCGTCCAACAATATCAATGTTGCTGTTGCTACTATACAACAATCACAATGTTCAAATAGTGTTTCAACATCGACTACCGTTACAACAACTGCCGATTCTAGTTGTACCCATGTGAGTCTTTTTTTTCATTTTGTAATTTCTGAAATTGATATAATTTTTTTTCTCTATTTATTCATTTTGTGTGGACTGCAGCCTTCTACAACGGATATTCAAACAGAAACCGGAACAGGAAGTCATATTTTATATGGACCAATAGGTCATCAAGCAGAAAATACATCCACACCATCGAATAATGTTGATGTTAATGATTATCAATTACAACAACATCCTCAACAAAATCAATACCATATAATTGCATCATCGAATTCATTGGTGAATCACAATACATCATCATCGAATCAGATTACGTCATCATCTACAACCACTGATAACAATAATAACACTGCCCATCAGGTAACATCACAACAATTTATGGCTGTTGTATCTTCTGCCGATACCAATCATCAACAGCAGCAACAACAACAACAATCTTCATCATCGATGACCAACGTAAATGCCGTTGTTGTAGTTTCTAATGATTCTTCTCATCCACAATCTCAATCAATCAACACGGATACAATTAGTGCGCTAGGAACAATGCGTGACAGTGAACCACAGTTGATGTCATCGACATCGACACTTTCACAATCACAACAACAACCACCACCCGTGCATTATGGCCATCATCCGACAAATACATCATCCAACTATGTTAGCTTATGTGATCAATTACAACAACATCAATCATCAACGTCGCAAGTGCCGCATTCGGAATCACAGGGCGTTAACGTAAATTTTTCTCTAAATGATTCCAAATCTACAGCATCGATCCAACAACAACAACAACAACAACCGCAACAGCAATATGATCCAACAGCTAGCAACTTACAACAAAATCAATCGCAAATACAAATTCAGCCACAGCAATCCAACATTACAATCGGTAATCTGTCTTTCAAATAACAACTTGAATGTTTTTTTTAGTTTTATAATTTATATTTTTTCATATTATAGCGGTTTCGACACAAAATCAGACATCATTGAATGTAATTAATCAACAACAACAGCAGCAGCAGCCAAGAATGATATCAGGAAGAAGAAATGAATCTCATTCTCAACAATCACAATCATTATGTATGGTTGTACCGCACAATAATCCAAATAACAATCTAGCTGATACAATTCCGGTGACACTAACAACTGGAAGTGGTGCCATACGCCCTTTGTGTGTGATCACCGATTCAACTCCTGAACAAATTTCAGCTTCCGGTATGAATTTCTCTAATGTAACAACGGCTTCGAAGAAAATATTTTTTTCAACATCAACAGCTGCTAGTACCAACACTAATACATCGATAAGTCAACCGACGTTATTGTTTGCCTCAAAAAGTCCGGCTGTTGGACAAACAGCAGCAGTTCATTCATCACATGTGGTCAATCAAAATCAGATCATGATCATTCCGTCCAATTTTTCTTTGAATCCTCAACATACGATTTCAACAGCCAGCCATTCACAACCACAGATTCAACAACATCGTTTCAAAGCTGAAAGAGACATTACGGACATTAAGCCTTTTGTTCCAGACACAAGTAGTATGTATTGCATGATGATCAATAAATTGTTTCAAATTTTATATCTTATATTTGCTCACCTTTTAGATGTGGAACAAAATTTTCATTCAAACGAGTCCTTGTTGCCTCGTCAATATTCTTCTACCTCTTCGAAGGATTCTTTAAACAATAATGGCAACAGTAATCGTTACCAAAATACTATATGCCATATCGCTTCTGGATCTCAAGGATATGGGGGTGTTGCTCAAAGCACTCCGACTACTCCTACATTGATTCATTCTGGATCAACACAATTTCCAGTGTCTGCCAATTATTCGGTGTTACAATTGCCTCCAGGTCAATTGCCCATTAGTCAGCATCCTCAAACACAAACATTGGGCAAGACTAAAATACTATTACATTCCGTACCAGCCGCAAACATTAGTGGCACTGCGAATGCTTCAGCTACATTATTGACACTAAATTCCAGTCAATTACAACCATTACAATCTACGAACAACGCTTCGGTATCTCATCCAAACATACCGACAGGATCGATTATATTGAGTTCGATAATTCAAAATCCAAGTAACATTTCGGGCAGTCAATCGACAAGAGCTGTCACTAAATTTGCTGTCCCAATAGGGGTTGCAACTAGTAACATCAGTCAACCACATCAACAATCAATTCAAGTTGCAAATATGGTTACACCTGGCCCTGGTACGTTTACGTTCATGCCGTCTGGTACAGGCCAGTTTCTACCTCATGCGACAACAACACCGGTAACGATGGCTATGGCGACAAAGACTTCAGCTAAATCATCTACAGTCAAAAAGGGTAAAAATACCAGTGTTATTTCTGCTAGGGATTCTGCATCACAAATAATTGCTGGTAAGTCATATTATTTGAAATGTCAATTTCAATCATTAATTTTATTCGAATTATAGCCGGTCGAAATCTAAATCCACCACCATTACAATCGGAAGATCCTGCAAAGCCATTCAAATGCAGCATATGTCATAAGAATTTAGCATCCAAAAATGTATATCAGTTGCATTTACGATCTCATTCTGGCGAGAAACCATTCGTTTGTGAAATATGTAACAGCCGTTTTTCTCAAAAGACATCATTAACTCGTCACACCAGATCTCACACTGGTGAAAGACCTTTTCCTTGTGAGGTAAATTTTGCATACAATTGATGAATATCCTTATATGAAACATTAATATTTTCTTTGACAAAAATGATTGTGTTTTTAGATTTGTGATAAAAGATTCGCAGACAAAGAAAGAATAAAAATTCATATGCGTATTCATACGGGAGAGAAGCCATTTTCGTGTACTATTTGTCATAAAAAGTTCTCACAGGTATGATTATTATTTGGTAATTCTAAAGAATTAATTCTAAATTATGTCAATAATAGAAATCCACCGTAAAACGTCATATGAGTGTTCATACTGGTGTAAAGCCATTCAAATGTGAATCATGTGGAAAAGGTTTTGCTAATCGTGGTAATCTGACAGCACATATCAAAACACATAATCAACAATCGTCAAGTAGCCGACAGTTGTCGAATCAATCATCGAATAATAATCAACAATCGAATAGAAAATCAAATACAAACAAAATGATCAATCAAAACATCAAGAATGAAGCTCAAATTGGTAATATGACAATCATTAATGCATTTATATAACGTTTTAATAATTAAATTAATAATTGCAACAGTTGGTAGTGATGGCCATTTCTTTTTAATTTACAAATAAAACTTTTTGCTCTTATTTATATTATTATTTATTTATTCAACAAAATAAACACCAATACCATGAACCAATAAGTCGTTTTTTTGCTCTTATAGTTACTGATGTCAGAACTTTTTTTTTGTTTTTGTTTTTGTTGAAAATTCCTATAGAACATTCTACGGAACGCGTCCAAACAACATTAGACCAGTGACAAAAATGAAAATCCATCATGATCATTTTGAAAAATTTTTTCAAAAAAAACAGTTGAAAGTGGTGGCCATATTATATATTGCTCCATTGAAAATCAACTGAACTTCAAAAATCATTATCGGCAACAGTTGTTATGGTTACCTGTGTTTTTGCTCAGTACCATTAGCATCAATAGCCAAAAGTTTCACAACGATTACGCAATAGCAGCATAAATTCATTTGTATCATCTCCATCATCATTATATCACACATATCTTCGAATCAATGGTCTTAGTTATCAGGCAAGAACTCTCAATGAATGAATAATCTGCGTTCCGGTCTCATCAGATGCATCAGAGTATGCATCAGAGTATGCTTTGGATGACAATGACCAACTTTTATCGACTAAATAGTTGACGCTTTATTTATTTAAATCATCGTTATTATTCTCATTTATTGCTTCATCTGTTACAAGCATCTTCATTCAAATTGGATTTAAAATCATCAAAACAATATTAACGATTAAAATGACAACAAAACAAGTTCCAATATAGACAACGATGATTGGAATTGTCTCTAACTAAATCCATCTTTTTTTCTCACTTTTAAAAAACAAATGTTTAACCATAATCTGACCAATCAAATAATTCTACGATTTTCTGAGAATTTTTTTGTTTGTTTCATCTCATCATTACCATCAATGATATGTTTAATATCAACCAATAGTGAATTTTCAGTTTTTTTTGTCTTATGAAAAAAAATGAAAATCAGACATATGACTATTTTCAGAAATGTTTTTCCTTGTTATAAAACAAACAAACAAAAACAAGAATTACGAAAAAATTATGAAGCTTACATATGAGAAGATAGAGGAATGAAATGAAATTCAACCAAAGCGTTTCAAAATGTTGATTTTCTATACTTGTTATTGTTTTTTTTTCTTCGTTTCTGTTGAGTTATTCAAAAAAAAAAAAAAATTTATATTTTTCCTTTATTGATCCTCACTATTTGTTAAAATGTTCAAACAATTTTTTTCATTCTTCCACATTACTGCATATATATATACAATGTATATTTTTGTTAAATTTTCTTTTCATTTTTTTCTTTGCTTATTTGTTTGTTTGTTTGTTTGTTTCTGTTTTCAAATTTCTCTAATATAGAATATTCAAACATTAGATCCCGTTATACTGCTGTATTCATTATTTGTTTTTCCATAAATTTCAATTTCTTTATAATAAAAAAACAAAATGACCCAAAATTTTTTAGAAAATTGTTAATAATTTACATATTATATATTATAGTGAGAGAGAGAAAAAAATATTGTTACACTAAATATTGACAAACCTGACTGTGTTATTCAATGATCCACAACATTAATACGCAGACAACATTTACAGCAACAACAACAACAACAACAACAACAACAAAAATAAATTTTTCAATCATTTAATGTTCATGATGTGATGAACTATTATTTATGTGATAAATGAACAATAATATTGAAGATTCTGCCATATATTTACAACACGATTACATGCACTTTTTTTAAATATCAGTCAAAATTTTGGTTCATTTTTTTTGATTCACACACAGAACAAACAAGTGTAGTTAATTCTCTTCTAATGTATTATAAGATAATACACGAATACATTCAAAATAATGAAATGAACCGAAGAAACTTTAGTGAGGATAATAGTTGGTCATTTTTTTTTAATATTCCAAAATAGTTTGGAAAAGTGAAAAAAAATCGACCAATTCAATAATATTTGGGTGATAAACAACAAATGATTACAATGTATACGATTGTGGTGTCTCTTTTCAAGAGAATCTTATAACGTATGGAAATTCCATTGTATTTTTTCTTTTCAAATTTTTTCCGCATATAGTATTCATTTTTTTCCACAAACATTATCATTATTAACAAGGACTGACAAATTTTTTTTTAAAAAGAAAATTTAACATCTATAAAATCATACATAATATTATTATTACAATAAGATTCATTTGCATACATCCTCCTCATATACCCATATTCTATCGGTCAATTTATTTATCTAATCAACAAATTTCAATCAAATTATTCTAGCAAATAAATTGTGATCACATAAATGTAAAATGTGGTCTCATAAAAGTTCATCAGCTCAAATGCTGATCCATCGTTCGATCAAAGTATATGATGATGATGATGATGATGATGGGTCTTCCAAAGAGAGAGATGGTGTGATCACTAATATTATGGAAATGATATATATATAGTTATTTATGACGGATCGATTGAGATTATTTTTTTTGTGAGATATCTCTACAATTTTTATTCATTATATTTGATAAGAAAAAAAGTAATTCTTATTCATAATATTTTAATTTATAGACAAAAATTAACGAATAATGATTTTATATATATATATAAAAAACATGATTCAAAATCCCTGTTATTCATACATACAGAATTGAATATAGAATTGTGTTTGGCTACATATTAATCGAATACTACTGTTTTCTGTTAATTCATTATTAGTTTTTTTTTCACATGAAAAAAATTTAAATTATCATTCTTATCACCTGTAACACTCATACACATATGAAAAAAATTTTGTTATTCTTCAAATGATCACTGTCATATTGCATAACATTGATATTTTTTTCGGTTATTATTTTCATTCATTCTTCTATCAAACATCACGTTATTATTATTTTTATTATTATTCATTATTCTTGTTTGTTTTTCTGTTTGTTGCACTTATTCTGTTTTTTTCTATATAATCTCATTTTTTTTTTTGTTGTTGTCGTTGCAAATAAATTTTGGAAATAAATTCGAAAAAAATATATGATAATAAAGCAATGATTACATTCGGGTTCAGATATCATATAATCATTTTATAATTCGTAGATTTTTTTTTCAATGAAATTTAATGAATTCGAAGCAGATTTTTTTTTTTGATATTTGCCCTGCCATCTGGAAGACTAATAATTAATTGTAGAATTCAAATATTTTTTCCCAAAGTCCATCACATGAATCTTTGAAAACATCATCAGCCATTTTATATTCAACATTTAATAGCATAGTTGTTGCCGATGATTTTTCTCCATTTTCATATACTTGTCGCCATTCGATTGATCCGATTTTTCCAGGATGACCAGTTTTAGCAAAATTTGTCCATGCTCTGATCATATCATTACTTAATTTGACATCTTCGGGAGAATCTTTCAAAGATGAACTGTGAAACACGTACGGTATATCAGCTCCGTGGCATACACCCATCCATTCGAAAGAACATCCCATTTTGACAGCAGCTATTCCCCTTCGGTCTAAACGATAGGAGTAAAAATTGTTTTTTATATCTGACATACGAGCTATTCTTTGGCCGAATAACATTGTTGGACACAACAAGGAGAGATCGCTAAATAAATTTCCGAACATTATCCTGTGCGAAACAAAATAAAATTATGAATAATTTCCAACGCCTAAAAATTGAACCACTCACCGAACTTCATTGACATTAGAAACATTCAAATTGTTTGTGTAATAATTAATAATTTCATTTGATTTTGTCATATTCATTTGTCTGGTCATACTCAATATTTTCTCATGGACTTGTTTTAATGTAAGAATCGTTTTGTCATCCATTAATTCCGGAAAATATATCAAGACCATCATGCTTCCTTCATCATGAGTTGCACCGAAAAGTAAGTCTACGTGATTAGAATTCTTTTTGAAATGAACAACATCATAGGGTAAAACATCATCACCAATGATTGGTTGAAATAATTCGTTTGCCATCATTTCTTTTCCATCACCTAATGCGGCATTTTTTATTTCTTCGGTTGATTTAGTCTTCAAACAAGCTAATGCTTGTTCAATGTTTTCATTTTTACAATCCAATTTTTCACAAAGTTTTTTCGTTTTTCTTAGAGCCATTTGTTTATTATCACGTAAAAATGGATAGGATAAATATAAGGAGCCGGATTGCATGATAGCTCTATGAAATAAGCCTCTAGCTATTGGCGATTGAACTAATGCTGACGCAGACATTGATCCAGCAGATTCGCCAAAAATTGTCACTTTATTAGGATCACCACCAAAATTTTCGATATTTTCTTGAACCCATTTCAATCCAAGCAATTGATCGTGAAAACCAAGATTCCCTGGAGTATGTTCATTATCGCCATATAAAAATCCAAATGGTCCAATACGATAGTTTATGGCAACAACAATAACTTCACCATAAGATGCTAAATAAGTGCTATCATAAAATGAAAGAAATATGGAACCACCTTGAAAACCACCACCATAAATCCATACCATTACTGGCAATAATTTCCCATTATTTGTGACCGGTTTATAAACATTTAAGAAAAAGCAATCTTCACTTTCATTTGTTACGTTTTCTAGTACAAATTGATTCATAAATTGTACGCATGAATTGCCTACTTTTGTTGCATTGTAAATGTCGCCAGGCCATGATGTTACCATGGTAGGTTTCTCAAAACGTTTGGCCTCACCTTTGAAACAAATGATTATTATTAAATCAACTAAATTAAACTGATACTTACCGAAGCGAAACCCTTGGTAAAGATAAACTTTTTTATCGCCAATTGTTCGGACAATTCCACGAATTTTACCATGACGAATATCAACGATTGGAGCATATTCTTCACCGGCTCCAAAAGAGCTGATGAAACAAATGTTCAATATAAGTGCAAAAATAAAAGCAAATCGGTTCATTTTCGGAATATAAATGCAATACCATTATAAGCCGACAATCGACCTTTATTGATTTAAGTTTTTTATCGATAAATTTTAATTGGTTCATAAATCAGATATCAGATAAAATTATTAATAGATAAATATTTAGGCAAAAATTGATTTAATTAAATAATCCCTTATAATCAATCGAACACTTGTTTTTTCTATCATCTTCATTGTGAGTTGTAATAGATAAATTTTTCGATAAATTTTGCAACATTGATAAAACAATCAAAATCGACATTAATTTTGTACAGATCATGCACATCATCATATACCAAGCAACGAGTTTCAATTCCGCGGGCTTTAAGTATACGATGATATAGCAATCCGGGAGGAAAAGGCACCCGTAGATCTTCTTTCCCTAACAACAATAGGGTAGGCACTTTAACTTTGGCAATGTGTGCCAAAGGCGATTTACTGTACATTTGGGACATTTCATCTACATTACGAGGATATATTTCACTTAATGATCGAAATTCTTTTACACCCAACGCTTCGACGACATTCCAATCTGGAATGTCTGTAATGCCAACCATTATTGAAATATCGATAACAGGATTTCGAGCAATACAAGCTAAGAAATTCATTTCGGGATGTTGACCAGAGATATTTGTGACTAAAAATCCACCATGAGACCCACCATTTAAAATGATTCGATCTTTGTCGGCATGATGATTGGTGATCATATATTGAATAACATCGAGAAGATCTTGAACATCGCTAGTACCAACATTTCCTAGAAGTGCTTCCACATATTCTTGATCAATACCAGTAGAGCCAACATAATTAACTGTTCATCAAAATAGAGTAAAGGATTAGGGGGATTAACTATAAATTAATTTTTAAAAATAAATTACCTAGACAAGTTTTGAGGCCAAGCTCATTATAAAGTGCTACAGATTGAAGATAAGTGCAGGCATAATGCGAATGTGGTCCACCGTGTGGTATAATCACAATTGGGCCAGATTTATTCACCATTTCTTTGGGAGATGTCCATATTGCTGTAATGTATTTATTTTCATAATGTTTGGAGGGAAGCATAAACATTCCAAAACTTATTGTTTCAAGGATTCGGACTTGTCGATCGTCTACGATTTGCATTTTAGTATTGGATTCAGAAAATTTTCCCAGATAAACCAAAGGTAGCTGGTTGATTGATGATCCAATAGCACAAACCCAATCATGGTTAACATCAATAATTTGAGTAGAATCAGCAAAATCTAACATCTGAACTGAGTGGTCTTCCATTTTGACAGCAAAGCTTTTTCTGTAAAATGGTGTTTCAGAGTCAAACAAGATGTATTTTCCATCTTTTGTGAAACAATTTTTCGGCAATCCAGAAGAAAAAATGGGTCCAATATCCGAATAGCTGACAGTGCCATCTTCTTTTTTGATTACTTCTCGTTTGATTTTGTCATCAATGATTGTCCGAATTTTTCTAGTTTCTACATCAAAGTATTGCAATCGTGCGGCTTTATCATGAGCTCCTCCGGCATTACTTTCAAGAAAAACAATCTTATTATCGTATCCATTTGAATAATAGACTCGAGGTGAACGAATCGATAGATCAGCAGAATCACCATAGTAGATTTCAGGTTCGACATTTGTAGAACCAAAAGGATCACGAACAACTTTTGCACCAAACAAATAGCTTACACGATTGGTACAATAGATCAATCCCAATTTATAGGGCACTTCTTTGAATCCAATACATCCAATTGAAAGAATTGATGAATCACCGGATTTAAAAAAGAATGGCTGACACAATGAAACGCCAACTTTATCCAATAAGATACATTTCGATTTCTGCAGATCGATTAAAGCAATTGAAGTATGATAAATTGTGCTGAATTTTTCACCCCAAGATTGTTTGTATTCATGGCTATTAATATTGTATTCCTTAGAAACAGATGGACTTTCATCTTTGTTTGATTTGTCCTGAATCTCAGCTAAACATAACAAATAATTGCCATCTTCATTCAATACAAAACTAGACATATGAAGATTTTCAATTATTTGCAATTCATCATTTAAAGATTTAACATCGATAGTTGTGCATACACCAGTTTTATCATAGATGACAATAAATTGTTCTGATTTAGAACTTTTTGAATCGGATTTTGATTTAAGATAAACAGTTCGTTTTCCATCTAGGCTTGTTGCTTGAAGAGAAACACTTGATTTGGATAGAATTTCATTAAATAAATTTACTTAAAACTAGGTACATACTCTGATTGTTCTTCCGGCAATCCTTTATTTTTATAGGTACCAGATGATTGATCCCAACAATAAATTTTATTGTAACAAGATGTTTTCACTTGATACGTATCACGAAATTGATAAGAAATTTTCAATGTTTGCGGACGAAAATTTGGATCCGATTCAAATGATGAATTATCATCTATGAAAGTTACTCTAGTCGGAATCGGCTTAAAGCTATATTCATTATATAGTGATTTCAATCTATCAATCTAAAATGTTTAATGAGAAAAAAGAATAATAATAGAAAATAGAAATGACAACAAATCGATAATAATATCATATAAATTACGTTATATCGATCACGAAAATTTTCCATTTCGTTATTATTGGTCACACAAATTAATTATACAGACAGAATTGATAATAACTTTTGATGTTGATGATGAACAGTTTGTTTTTATTCGTTCGATTGTGAACTAATTTATCATCAAAAGTTTAGATCGAAACACAGGCAATAGATAACAAAAAATTTTCCGAAACTTCAAAATTTATTGGCAAAATGTTTGAGGTCGACAATTTTTAGATGAGCCATGCATGTATCAAAAAATACAGATGAGCGTATCACCCCGTGCTGCTGTTTATAACACAAAAACACACGATATGATTTAACATTTCAATTGATTCCAATGCCACTACACTTAATTTCTATAGCTTTCGTCTGCTTTTATTCATTTGCTTACGGACAGGAAGGCAGTGTTTTTCGGTTAAACCCAATTTTTCAACAAATAATTTCAACAGGTCAATGTTTCAAATTAATTAAAATCATCATTTTATTTGATTTCATTGTTAATATTTTATTTTGATACACTATATAATTTGTTTAAAATTCATCTTTGATAAACATTTTATCGATTTAGTTTTGTGTTTTTGGTGTTGCTGTTAAAATCCACAATTGTGTCATTGTCAGAAATTTTATTTCCGTTGTCATTGTCAACTTCCAGTTATTTTCATTTTTTTCAGATAAGACTATTACCACCATCAACAACAATGTTTGATCCAGTAATGAACGAACTTTTATCGGAAGCCAAAAACAATACAGCGTTTGTCACATCTTCAACAGTGGCAATACGACGTAATGGAATTGTTTCTTCCAAATGTTTCAGTACACCTTCCAATGCTTCACCAGCACCACTTGCTTGTTGAAAATTAGTACGTATCGCAGTTGGACTGTGAATTAAGATAATTTTTTAATTAGTTGATTAATTGATAAGTTATTTTTTATTTGTATCATACCTAACACAATTTACGCGTACACCCTTTGGTCCAAGCTCGATGGCAATTGATTTAGAAAACATATCAACAGCAGCTTTAGCCACACAATATGGCATGAAATATTGATTCTATAGAAAATTTCAAGATTATAAAATTAGCATATTTCGGTAGATATATATTATATTCATTACCGGTCGTTGTCCAAGAATAGAAGAAATATTGACAATAGCTCCTTTGACCTTTTCAAGATGAGGAACAGCTAATTGTGTCAATGCAACAACCGAATTTAGATTTAAATTCATCATAGAATTCAGTTGATCCTGTAATTTTTCATCATAGATAGAGCCAAAAGCTCCACCGCCAGCATTGTTGACGAGTACATCAAGGCGACCAAATTTTTGAATAGCCGAATCTACCAAACATTTTAGATCCTCTTTTTTAGTTACATCAGCTAAATGTGAGAAATGTTCAGCGCCATTAGGTGACAATGACGAACATTCACTAACAACTTTATCAACAGCATCCTGTCGACGCCCAGTTATGACCAAATTAGCACCACGTTTAGCGAATTCACGAGCTAGAACTGAGCCAAGACCTCCGGATGAGCCAGTGATAAGGACAACTTTATTGATGAAATTGAATTCTGTTGCCATTTTTTTTTGTTGAGGGAAAATAAACAGATAAAAAATTGATTATTTTGATTATGAAGTGATATAACAACAGCTCAGAATGAAATGTTTAAGCGAATCAGAAAATAATCTGAAAGAATTGATGTGTAAATCTGTGTATGAAAGACATGGCTTTGTTTGTGTTATGTACATTTTTGTTGAAGGCTATAACGGATGGTTAATTTTAAACTAGCAGCAGAAGCATCAAATAACGGCAGCTAAATTTTTTTTTTAATGTCTCAAATGAATGATTATCCAGAATTAATATTAACAAAATCAAAACAAGGTCATGATGGGCAGAAAAAATTTGATATGATAACAAACATACCGATCAATGCAGTTGTTTTGGTGATGCAAAATGCAAATGAATCTTCAATTAATTATCAAAAAAAAAATAATTTATCAAATGATGATGATTCGTGTGTTTGTGCTTTCATGTAAGTGTTGACAAATGTATGGGTAGAAAAAATAAAATAAAATAAAAAATCTATAGTTGGTAACAACGACGACGAAGAACAATTGAATATAGTAGCATATAGCAGTAAATATAAATTGTCAACCATCTAACCAGAAATGGTTGTCAATAGAAAATATCTTTTTATTTTGAAGTATATATTTCCCACTTCAGGCTATATTCTTTGTTGTTTGATCATCAAAACCGCCAATGGATATGTTATTGAAAAATGATACACACACTCATTCAATTGACTATGAATGCGTTTTTTTTTTTGAATGAGTTAGAAATCATTATCGTTGTTTCCACCGAATGAATCGATCAAACGAGGATGTAGTAGTATTGAAAAAAAACGTCATAGCAACATGAAGAATGGATGGAATCATACATACATACATACATTATTCGTGTTGATTGATGAAGATTTTATTGTTGTTCTTTTTTGTTAGATTCATCAATGCAGCTGCTGTTCTTCTATATGGTTTGATATAAACAATATTTCGTAATTTTTTCAACAAAAAAAATAAATAAACCTATAATTATATGTTTACCATTCTATGAAATGCAAAATATATTCTTGTATTTTTTTTCTTACGGGATGATATATCGTGTATAGCAACAACAACAACAACAACAACCAGCAGCTAATAATCAGACGAAAAAATGATCACCAGAAATGTAAAGGTAGAATATGGCAAGAATAGCAAAAAGATTTGAGCAAAATGAAAGAAAAGAAAAGTTGGTGACCTTGTTTGAACATGTTTTCATTCATTCTAATTATCATCATTGGAGCTTGCTGATGATGATAAAAAAAAAATTTCAATTCATTTATTGAAATTGGTTTTTCATAATTGTACACACTTTTTCATAAACATATAGTTGGACTTTAATTTTTGTTCGATTTGTTTTGCATTTCGGCCACAAATAACAAATGGGCGCCATCTTCATACGGTATAACCAACTAGGACTTTTAATTTTATATTATTAGGATATTCTTGAATCGATGATCTTTAAATTTAAACAATTTTTTCATCATTTTTTCAACAAGATGGCGATATTAGATAAAAATAAATATTATTTCCAAATCAAGGTAGCTTACCATCATCACTAGCTATATATTGTTTTTTCTCTACTTTTGTTTGACAACCGATAGTTTTTGATTCAAAACATTTGTTGGTTGTTATGGAACACACACTATTCTATAGCGGATGTGATTTTATATTGAAAGGATTCATTTATTCATTTTCAAAATTGTCAATAAAGGTAAAAAAAAACCTACAATTACAAACTTTTAATTTCATTATGAATGATTTGTTTTGTTTTGTTTTGTTTTCATATATAATTGAGAGGGAAAAATATGACTCATATACACATACACAAACATAGATATCGATCATAACCTAAACGCATTTTATTTATTCAATGAAAAAACAAGATTCAATGCTAAAAATTCTCCAAATTAGTCGATTAACATTTTTTTTCCGTCGTCAACAGTCCTTTCTTTCTTTATGTCTCATTATTATCGATTATTTTATATATTACACTTTTTCTACATTTATTCGATTTTTTTCCCATTTATTCAACTGATGATCAAGTTAAGATATAAATGTGCAAGTGTTTGAATGATTACCACTAATGAAAATGGAAAATATTGCAACAATTCTTATTGTTTCAACATTGAACAAAGTTATCTGAATTTTGAATCAATTATTGTCGACAATTTATTTATTTTTACCTTAATTCAAATAAATATATTACATTCAAGATGCGAAGTGTGAAATCATTATTCTCACAATTGTCTTGTGGTTCACATCGATCGGTCAAAATTGATTCACCAAATAGTGGTAGTGACAAAACCAATCTTTCGGCTAATCATAATATTGAAAATTCACAGGAAATATCCGGTAATCATTCATCTTTACCGTTGATGCAAGTTACAACTGAAAAAATGTCTAATCGTAATCGAGATTTTAGCGAAAAAGTTGTACTGATAACCGGTTCCAGCGGTGGTATTGGTTTGGCTACAGCAAAATATTTTGCACGTTGTGGTGCCAAAGTGGTCATCAATGGACGTAATCCTGTGGCTATTGCAAAAGCTGCAGAAGAATGTCAATGTATTTCACCTAAAAGTAAGTTATGTTTGTGTTTGAAAAAAAATTATTATCAAAATAATTTCATTATTATTGTAATTCCAGAATATCGGGCCTTACAGATGAAAGCTGATGTCACCAAAGAAGATGATTGTAAACGCTTGATTGCCACCACTATCGATCAATTCGGAAAATTGGACATCCTTATCAATAATGCAGGTGCTGGAGCTTTTGGCTCTTTTATGATCCAAAACTTTTGGAAACATTGGAACATATGATCAATTTGAATGTTAAATCAATTGCCATGGTTACTCAGATGGCTGTACCACATCTGGAAAAGACAAATGGTGTCATAGTGAATATTTCGAGTACATTATCATTCAAACCGGTATGTAATCATGATAATATTCAATAAATATGTTAATTTTACGGGAATTTTTTTTAAGAATGTACATTTCATGCCATATTGTGTGGCCAAATCGGCTGTCGACATGTTTACCAAATGTATTGCCATGGAACTTGGACCAAAAGGCATTCGTGTCAATACCGTCAAGTAAGTATAGGAATTCTGATTACACATCTTATTAAAATTACCCACATTTATATAAAAAATTAGTCCGACTGCTGTACGCACCAATTTTCAAGCTGCAACTGGTGCTGGAGAAATTCTTGATGGCGTACTTAAACATCTGGAACAAACCAATCCATTGAGACGAATTGGAACAACCGAAGATATTGTCAATGCTATTGCATATTTGACTTCTTCAGAATCATCATTTGTTACCGGACATTCATTGGTTGTTGATGGGGGCTCTGTTTACGTTTAACATTTGAAATACAATTTTTTTCGATTTGACATGTTTTGATCACTTTTTCAAAATAAATTAATAAATATACAAGTTGATTATCGTAAACAAGCTGGTTATTAATTATTCAAATACTTATGATGGTTGACATCATATGGTCATTACGAAGGATATAAATTTTTGGAAAACAGAAAAATTATTTTTATATGCACGAAAATAATCATGGAGCCTCAAGTTTTATTTGCAAGGCAACCTGTATTGCCACAATTGCCAACATTACCATCATTGACTGTACAATTATTAACAGTTTCGGTCATCATATTACAGCGAACAATTCGTCATAATTCAATCACAACTAAACAACCAATCGCTGATCAATATGATTTTCTTGTTGTCGGTTCTGGAACAGCGGGTGCTATACTTGCTGCAAGGTTAACAGAGAATCCTAATATCAATGTGTTAGTGTTAGAAGCCGGTGGACCACAAACAATTGCAACTGATACACCTAGTTGGGCTCGGCAAGAAGTTGGAACTGAAGTCGATTGGGGATATGCAACGATATCTCAACTTCCATATTCTGGTCGTGCTTTTGATGGTCATGTGGGATTACCTCGTGGTCTAGTCGTTGGTGGTTCTCATAATCTCAATTATCTTGTCTATAGTCGTGGAAGTCCTAGAGATTATGATTCTTGGGTTGAAGAATTCGGTGCTACTGGTTGGAGTTATCGAGAAGTATTACCATATTTTATTCGGTCTGAAAACAATACTGATCAAAAAATTATTGCAATGAATTCCGCTTATCATTCCACAAGTGGCCCTGTAAGTGTTATGACACCCAAAAATCCTGATCCGATTATCACTATTTTCAAAGAAGAATTAATGAAACGAGGAATTCCCGAAGTTGATCAAAATGGACCAACACAATTAGGTATCAATTATTTTCAACAAACCATATATGAAAATGCAACTCGTTCAACAACAGCTAGTGCATATCTTGAAGCTAATGTTGAAAGACCGAATTTACAAATCCTAACAAAAGCATTCGTTACTAGAATTTTGTTCAATGAAACTCGTGACAAAGATGGCAGAATTACAGCAATTGGTCTTGAATATGAACATGAAAATCAAACGCAAAGAGTTTATGCTTCGCGAGAAGTCATACTGAGTGCAGGTAAATTAAAATCATCCAAAAGTATTCGAAGCTAATTTATTTTTTCTAGGTTCAATAAATTCACCTCAATTATTGATGTTGTCTGGAATTGGACCATCCAATCATCTCAATGAATTTGGAATCGAAACTTTAGTCGATTTGCCCGTTGGATATAATCTAAAGGATCATATCTTTGTTCAATTAGATTATGAAATTTTCAATGAATCATTGATTACTTCGGGAATCGAATGGACACTTGAAAACATGTACTATAATTTCGTCGATTCAGCTGGACCATTGTCTCAATTTCCATTAGTATATATGTACTTTAATAGTCGTATGAATAATGAAACTGATTGGCCTGATCTTCAAATTGATTTCACCGTTAGTCCATTGGTCAATGATCTTGAACAAATTGTTGCACGTTATAGCCCAATTTATCGAGATCAATGGCGAAACTATTATCGTTCACATGTTGGCCAAAAAAATCGTCTAGGTATTCTATGTTTTCATTATCGACCACGTTCAACTGGTCGACTTTATCTAAACTCGTCTGATCCACATGATTTTCCATTGATTGATACACGTTATTTGACTGATCCATATGATGTGAATTCAATGGTTGAAGTCATATCAACAGCTTTGGAATTAGCAAGCATGCCACCATTTAATCAATATGTACGATTATATCGACAACCAATACCTGGTTGTCAGCTTTGTCCAAATGGTCCAATCTGGAAATGTAGATCATATCTAGAATGTTATGCAAGAACAATAACAACAACTGTTGGCCATCAAGTTGGCACTTGTAAAATGGGTAATACAACCGATTCAGTTGTTGATCCAAGATTAAGAGTACGTGGTGTTAATCGTCTTCGAGTTATAGATGGATCCATCTATCCACACATCACCAATGGCAATACAAACGCACCAATCATGATGTTTTCTGAATATGGATTTGACATGATACGCCAGGATAATGGTATATAATTTAAGATCAATAACAAAAGAAACTATTGAAAAAATGTGTGAAAAAAGTATAATAAATTATTTCAAGTTCATACAATTTCTGTTGTGTTCAAAAAAAAATTGGCCTACTTGTACAATTCTATTAATTTTAATTGTAATCAATTCGTACAATTCAAGGTAGATTCTATCTGATTTGTTTAGAAATTAGTACATTGTAGAAAATAGTACCGCATCATCGAGGAAATATCTAGGACTTTTGTGAATAAAAAATTTCTTAGAATTCAAAGACTTTTTTATATAGATTTTTATAGATATAATCGAGACAATAATAATTGTTCATTGTTCAGGGTATCAATCGATGAAAAAATAATTTTTTTTGTGGTTAAAATTTTTTTGAACAAAAGACGTTGATTGATTTAAATATTGGTGTGTTTTTTTTTAAACAGGATAAGAAAATTCATTTTTTTCTTTGTAAACAAATGCTCTCATCAAGTGGTGTTGTGCATCGTCTATCCGATGATAAATTAATTTTTTGAATCTAAACGTAAAACTATAAAATTTATAGCGAACTATAATATTCGCTTGTGTGGATTTTAAAGAATTTATAAATTTTATCATCATTCGAAAAAAAATATCAAAATCATGGAAAATCATCAAACGGCTGTAAGAAAACTGCTCCCTTGGAATGTTATTGATGATGAGATCGTTATCAGTGGAATTGGTGGTCGTTATCCGGAATCGAATTCATTGGATGAATTTCGTGATAACTTGTACAACAATGTAGATATGATCACTTCGGATGATCGTCGTTGGCCAACAGGTCAGTTATTATAGAAATATATGAATTACAATAAATAAATTTATTTTATTTTTCTTATAAAGATCTTTATGGAATCACCAATCGAATGGGAAAACTCAAAGAGATTGATAAGTTTGATGCTTCATTTTTTGGCATCATACCAAAAGTGGCCGATGAAGTAGATCCTCAAGGCAGAATTCTTCTGGAAACAACATGGGAAGCAATCGTCGATGCTGGAATTAATCCTCAAACATTAAGAGGAAGTAACACTGGTGTTTATGTTGGATATACATCAGTCGCTATGCCAGATGGAGTACCGCAAGAAGTTCAAGACGATATTCAAGCTTCCAAAGTAGAATCACTACTATGGTTTCAAGGTGGATCAAAAGCATTCTATGCGAATCGAGTTTCATTTCTTTATGATTTCCATGGCCCTTCAATGTCAATCGATATCGCCTGTGCATCATCAATGGTTTGTCTTGACATTGCCGTTACAGATCTACGATTAGGAAAATGTGATCAAGCAATTGTGGCAGGTGTCAGTATCAATCTTCAGCCATTTACAAATCATATTTATAAAGTTAATAACATTGCTGCACCTGATGGTCGATCCAAAGTTTGGGATCAAGAAGCGAATGGTTATGTTCGTGGTGAAACTGTGTGCAGTTTATTTCTACAGAAAAAATCTGATTCCAAACGAATTTATGCTACAATTCTTCATGCTAAAACCAATATCGATGGCTATAAACTTACTGGAATGTTTTTTCCTTCAACTGAAAGCCAATATGATCTCATGGTGGCTACTTATTCTGAGGCTGGTATCGATCCATTGGAAGTAAATTATTTTGAAAGTCATGGTACTGGTACAAAAGCTGGAGATCCACAAGAAGCAAAAGCTATTTTGGAAGCATATTGCAAAAATCGAAAAGGCAAACTACCGATTGGTCTGCTAAAAAGCAACATTGGTCATGGTGAAGGTGCGTCAGGTGTAGCATCACTATCCAAACTATGCATTGTTTATGAGAACAAAAAAATTCCTGCCAATCTTAACTTGAAAAAAATTAAGACCGACATAGCTGTAATGGTTCCACCACTTGATCCAGTCACTGCGAATAGAGATTATGAGCCGGGAATTGTGGGAATTAATTCATTTGGAATCGGTGGTGTCAATGCTCATGCTTTAACAAGACCGAATAAGAAAGAATGTAATGAAGAAAGTTATCAGATTGTTAGAAATGTTCCTCGACTCGTCAACATCAATGGACGTACTGAAGAAGCAATTAATCACATATTTGATTTCATCGAAAACAACCCGAATCGTGTTACACAAGAATTTCTTACTCTTCTAGGTGAAACGGTAAATTATGAACCAAGTATTTATTCAGCTGGTTTTCCTTATCGAGGTTCAATGTTGATCAAAAAATCTTCTACCGATTCATATCAATATAACAGAAAAATTTCCAAAGTTGAAAACGTCAAACGTCCAATTTGTTTTTTCTTCCCCGGTGTGGGAAGTCAATGGTCTGGTATGGCTAAAGCTATGATGAACATTGATATATTCGCCGCTGCTATTAAGCAATGTGCAGATATTCTAAAACCATTTCAACTTGATTTGAATTACATTTTATTATCAGAAGATCCGAAAGCTATGGAAGATAAAGTTCATAATTTTGTGGCCATTTTATCAGTACAAATCGCTTTGGTTGATTTATTCAAAGCCCTAGGTGTTCAACCCGATTGCATAGTGGGCCATTCATTCGGCGAAATTGCTTGTGCATATGCTGATGGATGTTTGACTTTGGAACAGGCAATCATAACATCTTTCTGGCGTGGTAAAGCTGTTAAAGATTCTAATATTGAACATGGTATGATGGCCGCTGTTGGACTTACTTGGGAAGAAACAGTTAAAAGATGTCCACCCGGTGTTTATGCTGCTTGCCATAATTCAGAAGATTCAGTTACTATTTCTGGAAGTTATGAAGCTGTTGATTCGTGTGTTAAAGCTATGATCAGAGAGAAAATTTTTGTCAAAGAAGTTCAATGCTCCAACATTCCTTTCCATTCACCATTCTTGACACCAGCCGGCGAACCAATGATGGAAGCTCTCAAAAAAATCATTACTGAACCAAAATATCGAAGCGAAAAATGGATTTCAACTTCTATACCCGAAAATGAATGGTCTTCAGATAAAGCTAGAAAAGCTTCACCCGAATATTTTGTAAATAATTTAATTAATCCAGTCCTGTTGCATGATGCTACTAAACATATTCCGAAGAATGCAATCATCATTGAAGTTGCAGCGCATACATTATTCTCTGCTATATTCAAACGAAGCATGCCGAATTCCGATTATGTTGGATTAATGAGACGTGGAAATAATGCAGGAAATCTTGATTTTTATTTCAATTCACTTGGTCAGCTCTACCAATTCGGTGTGAATCTTACAATCAAAGCATTGTACCCTCAAATCGAATGGCCTGTTCCACGAAATACACAATCGATTGGCTCATTGATTCGTTGGGAACATAGTAAATCATTCCTAGTGAAAAAATATCCTGAATATCATTCTCAAGCAACTGCTTCTGACTTTGTTTCAAAGTTTTCATTATCAAATCCGGATGATCAATTTTTGAAAGATCATGCCTTCGATGGAAAATGTGTTCTGCCAGCAACCAGTTATTTACTAATGGCATGGCGACGTTTGGGAGTATCTTTGGGTCAACCTTGGTTCTCATTTCCAGTAATATTCGAAAATGTTGAATTCAAACGATTAGTTCCATTATCCGAAGATGAAATGGCACTTAAAGTTCGTTTTTTGGATCCAACTGGAGAATTCGTTATACTTGATGGAAACAATATAGCCGCTTCAGGGAGAATTCGTCGACCCGACCAGATTGAATTCCAATATCAGAATTTAATTGACAATTTTGAAAAAGAAAATTCTTCTCTGTAAGTGATTTATTTATACTGATTTATTTTTATCTATTTTCTGTGTTTAGATCGGGACACAAGTTGAATACTAATGAATTTTATACCGAAATGAATGTTCGAGGTTATGATTATGGGCCCAAATTCAAACAAATTCAGGAAATTGAATTCGCCAGTTTTAATAGATCCCGTGCAATGGTTCGATGGTCGAATAATATTATCACATTTGTTGAATCAATGATTCAACTTAGTGTCGCACATACTGATCAACGGTTTATTTATGTAGCTTCTGTTTTGCCATCATTTAAATGTGATCCAAGAGGGTTTTGTGATTTACCACAAGAAGATTTACCTGTAATCATTGATGCTAATCTTAAATATGTTGCCAGTCGTGGTATCGAAATGCGTGGATTGAAGTTTGTTCATATTCCATTGAAAAATGTTATGCGTAATGTAAAACTAGAAAAATATAAATTCATTCCGTTTCATGAGCAAAAAGCAATCGAAATTGTTGACTATAATGAACTTGAACAATATATTGAAGATTGCAACACAATCGCTCTATCTATCGTTTTGGCTGGAAACAAATCATCAACACAACAATTTATTAATAAAAATGTGACTCGCATTCTTAATCAAAAATTATCATCAGAACAAGTATTGCTCAATATTCTTGTGGACTGTTTCAAATACATCGTCGATGAAAATGGCAACATCATTGGTGATGGAATTTTGAATTGGCCTACTGTGCAGAAAATTGTTGCCGATAATGGCTATGATCTTTCACAAGATTGTCTCAATACATGTCATAAAAATGGTCGCTTAATTAGATCATCACTAGGTATGTGGCTTTTTCGAGATGACAAAGTTTTTTGAATGATTTCATTATCATTTTCTAGATATCATCAATGAAAACAGTCTTCGCAATTTGACAGTGGTTGAAGCTAATTATAATCAACAGATTTTGATCGATGATTTGATGCGTCATATGAATGGTCATTTCATTATCCTCTTGTTGTAGATTCACTTTTATTAGCAAAAAATATTTCCAATTTATCTGACGAAATTCAAAATTCGGCTCATAAACTCGTTAATTGGAATGCGAAGAATCAAAATTACCAGCAATTGAAGCACCAGCTGATCTATTTATTTTCAGAGATTCTTTTGATCTTGATAATCTTGATTTTAAAATTTTCGCTAAAGAAATTTCATCTAGCGTTAAAGAAAATGGTTTCTTGTTTGCTGTGTTTCGTTCAAATATTTCGAAAGCTGAACAAATGGTTCACAATTTTTTCGGTATGAATTCATAATTTATCAATATTAACATTTTTAAAACTATTGGTGATTTTTCAGGAAAATCGATAAATACTATTAATCTAAACCAAAGAATTGAACAATTTGAAAATGGTGCCAAAGCAGCCGGTTTTAATTTAATATCAAAGAAAAGTGATTGTATCACATCAACATGTCTATTATTCCGCAAACAAGTTGAAAGCTTAGATCCAACTAAACAGATTACCGTGCCCGTTTATTTTGGCCGTTTTGATGAATGGGTTGATAAATTAAAGAATTCATTCACTTCGTACAAGAATCGCCCTAAAAATGAAAATATCTGGATGGTTTCAGATGATAGCACTCTCAACGGAATTCTTGGTATGACAAATTGTCTTCGTCAAGAGCCTGGAGGTGATCGGTTCCGTTGCATTTACAGTGATACAGAATTGCCAAAACCAATCGATTTCAATCAAGCACCTTATAATGAAATCTTGAAAAAAGATTTGTCTATGAATGTATTCAAAGATGGTCAATGGGGTACTTATCGATTATTAGATTTGGAACGTAATTATAATACTGTCGAAAGTAATGAAGTTTATTTGGATATCGTCAAAAAAGGAGACATGTCCAGCATAAAGTGGCTTGTTTCACCTATGATCAAACATATCAATCATAATGATGTGAACGTTCAAATTCATTATGCTGGATTAGATCTAAAAGATTCGCTTCTCAGTTCTGGTTCAATGGGTATAGAATTCATAGAACGATCATTAGGCACAGAGTTTTCTGGCTATCGAACCGATACAGGTGAATGTGTCATGGGAATAGCATTTCATCGAGCTATATCAACTTCGATTGATATTGATCCTCAATTATTGATACCAATTCCAGACAAATGGAAACTTGAAGATGGCGCTGCTTCAATTAATTCTTTATTCATTGTTTGGTGTAGCTTGATTCATAAAGCTCATCTTCAACCCGGTACTATTCATTAGTGTTATTAATTAATTTACATCAATTAACCGTTATGATATATTTTTTCACTCTAGGCGAAACGATTCTCATTCATCCGGGTACCAGCGCAATTGGTCTAACGACTCTTCAAATTGCCAATCAAATGGATTGTACTATTATCGCTACGGCAAACACCGAACGAAAACGACGATATTTAATGGAAAATTTCGACATACCCGAGAAAAATATTTTAAATCCTGAAGATTCCGATTTCATAGATCAGGTTCTGGTTGCCACATCCTACACAGGTGTTGATGTTGTATTCAATTCATTTTCGAACCAAAAATTACACAACTTATCGCCCATCGTTCGAGATTATGGACGTTACATTGATATTGATCAACCGAAATCCACTTTTAACAGTCCATTATCAAGCAATGCACATTATTTGAACATATCTTCTCTCATATGTGAAAAATCATTCCGTAACTTTATGCCTAGATTAATGAAGAATTTTAGAATCTGGTTTGACCAATACGTTAAAAGTATGTGATTTATTATTTGTATGTTTGATTAGATTCAAGCTAATTTTCTAATTTTTTTTAGAATGTTTTGATCCGATTCCACAAACTATATTTGATAAGGATTCATTCAATCAAGCATTTGAGGTTTTGAATCGAGAAGAAAATATTGGAAAAGTACTGATTCGTATTCGTGATCAGGTAAGTATTGTGACACCATCATCATCATCGTTCAAGATTCAAGCCAAACCAAAAACACTGTTTGATTCGAATAAATGTTATGTACTTGTCGGTGGTCTTGGTGGCCTCGGATTGGAAGTTGCCTATTGGATGGCCATTAGAGGAGCCCGAAAGTTGGTTCTTGTCTCAAGGAGTGGTATCAAAAACGAATATCAATATGTTTTTGTGAAGCGAATCGAAAATGCTGTTAAAAATTGTGAAACTGTTAAAGTAGAAATTTCAACATCCGATCCAACATCAATGAAAGGCGCGGAACAATTAATAATGGACTCGGAAAAAATTGGACCCATCGGTGGTTTATTTCATTTTGCAACAGTTTTAAGTGATGCATTCATTGAAGATCAAACTCCTGGTTCATTTAAAAAAGTTTGCGCTCCAAAAATGAATGCTCTTGGTCATTTGGATGTCGTAACGCGCAAAATGTGTCCAGAACTTGATTATTTTGTCGCCTTTTCATCACAAAGTTCGGCTCGTGGTTTTCTTGGACAAAACAATTATGGCTATGCTAATTCAGTTATGGAACATATTTGTGAAAAACGTCGCCGTGATGGATTACCTGGACAAGCTATCGCATATGGTCCAATTGGCGATGTCGGCTTATGGGCTCAAAATGAACATGTAGATTTGACCAGCATCGGTATGGTAATCGATACACAACGCATTCCAAGTTGTATGGAAGTATTGGATCGATTTTTAGTTCTTGATTATCCTATTGTTACCTCTATCATTCGTTTGGAAACCACACAGCAAGCTGGTTTGTGAAATTTTCATCACTATAGTTTATTGGTTTAATCTCTTTTTCTGATTTTTCAATCTTAGGTAATAATTCCAATGCTAAAGATCATATCTGGCAAGGAATCGGTATCGATATGGATTCATTACCAGATAATTTATCATTGGGTGATGTGGGCATGGAATCTATATTGGCAGTTGAAATGCAACAACGTATCGAACGAGAATATGAAGTGGTATTGACTTCGGATGAAATTAAAAAATTAACCGTTGGTATGATCAAAGAATATAGAAAAGGTAAAAACAATTATTGTATGCGTAATGATGGCTAATTTAATTTGACAAAAATTTATTTTATTTCTATAGCTGATAAAGAAACAATCAGAAAATCATTGACAGAATTTCATAATTCAAAATAATAACACACGACACATTTTTCATTGTATTAGTAATATGATAGACTTTTAATAGAGAATAATTAAAACAATTCAATTCATTTGTATTCAATGTGGTTCACTAGGACATTTATAAACAGAATTTATTTCTTCATCATAATCCGGATGATCTTCATTTATACGACCACCGCAACAAAATGTACAAGTTTCACGGATTACACCATATCCACGTGAAAGACAAGTTTTACGACAGGTTGATTGTCCACAACGTCGATCGACCGAAATGAGTACTCCATTCAATCGTGTTACATCAACCATACAATATTTGGTAGTCGATGAACATTTGGTTAGATACTCATTATCTGTAAGCGTATAATTTAATGCTGGATTATAACATGGATTATTGTAAATATAAGTGACCGGATTGAATACCGTCAATGGAACACGTTCAAAATCTGCAAAACAAGTATAACAATAGATTCCAGGATCATCATTTTTTTGTCCACGATTACGTCCTCGATTTTTTGGTTGTTTACGTGTGGGTTTCCGACGTTGACCAGGTCTTTGAGCCAAAGTCCAATTGTCAATGAATAAGAAAATTATTAGCAAACTAATCCACAGTGATAACTTCATGATGATGATGAAATATACAAATGGATCTCATTCTTGTATTACATGAATGAGCAAGAATTAGCTGAGCTAATCGGTTCGTTTCTATGGATACAAATTGTCCATTTCTGACCACACGGACAATATATGAAACAAACCAGTTAATCAATCAAAACAGAATTATATAGTCAATAAAAAATGGCCGCCATTTCACCATCATGAACATATCATTTTTTTTTATTAATCAAAACGAAAAAAAAATTAATATTTGAAATCTTGTATCAAAATAAAACAATAGTTTATTTAACAAATCATGCATCATCAATTTGAAAATGGTTACGATATAATAATATTATAATGTTGGTGATGGTTGGCTAATCAAATAATGATAGCGAGTCAAGAGATGAAAAGAATGATGAGAGAGAGAGAGAGAGAGAGACTTATTTAGATCACAACATCATATCCGCGAATTGGGTCGAGAAAAAAAGGTCATTTGTGATACAAATTGAGAAAAGAGAAAAGTATTATTAATATGAATACGAAAGACTTTTTTTTGAATGATGAATAATGACGAAAGAAAGGATGAATTAACAGAAAAAAATGGTTAACAATTTTGAATTCAAATTTAAATGATAAAGTTTTTGCGTTTTCATTTTGAACAAAAAAAAAATTTAAAAAGGAGAAAATCCTATGAATATAATTGTATCAATTGATGAAACAAAATCACTGATTGATTGATCGATTATTACGGATTATTTCATTTATTTCAAATCATCATCATTGTTCTGTTATTCTGTGTAACCTCCATTTTCAGTTGTAAAATTGATATATGTGGATAATAATCTTTTTTTTATCATTTGAATCGAATTTTAATGATGGAAAAAGTTTCGAATCTATGTATATTTTTGTACAGAATCATTGAAATTCGAATCGAAGATTTTGCAACATTTTCTCTTTGCCATTTGGTTTTGATTGGCCATTTTATTTGTATGCATGTTAAATGTTACCACGTATATGTGTAATGTGATATTTTATATGCATTGATTGGATTCGATTGGATCATATATTTTTAAATGTTCATTAAATTTTTTTTCGAAATAAACAAAAGAAATTTCTTTTACAAACAAAATGATCATACATTGAAAATAAAAAGGTAGACAAAAAAAAGAGAATCCAAATTATCTCTGTCAATGTGTGTGTGTGTGTTTGTGTTTGTGTCAATTTTTTTTAACTGTTATAATGAATTCAAAATTACACAAAATTACAAATTTAATTGACAGATTTTTTTTCATTATCCATGTTTGTGTGTATGTGTGTGTTAGAGAAGAGAAGAGAAGAAATGAATTAATCCCATTCAATAATATTAATAATTTTATAAATACAAATAAACAAAGGTTTCATCATTTTGCTTATGGATATATATAAAAAAAAGAAGGAAAGAAAAGAATTATGTGCATTGATGATGATGATGATGATGATGATGATAATGATGATGTAATAAGTGTAATCAATTTTTTTCTTGTCTTTCTCACTTTCTCTATTTTGTACAACAACCTTTCATCAAAAAAACAACTATGACAATAAACTGAATGAATGAATTTTTTTTCCAGAATATATCAGAGATTAATTCAAATGTCTCAAAAAACATTGATTTGTTGTTCCATAGATTTTCCTGTTAAATCTTCCTTGGATTGGACAATTCACATCATAAATCGACATCAAGCAAGAGAGAAAGTGAATAAGAGTTTAACATCACAGATTTAGTTTTCATGTTTGTTTGTTTGTTTTTTTTTTGGTTCCGATTCGAATGTTTAATGTATCCATCCACCATACAAAACAGATTTGCAAAAATTCCGATGTCAAGAATTGAAACTAAAGATGAATATAATTAAGCTGAAATAATGACCAATTTTGCTGTGGGGGGTTCAGTAATCACCATTTAATTCTTTTGTCCATTCTTGTGAAAATTTGCCACACAATTTTGATTATGGATCCAAATAAATTTAAGAACGTTGTAGGTGTAAAGGTGGTAATGTCTGGATTATCACAAACTATTGTTACTGCTGTTACTATTGTTATTATGTTTGCTATCGCTTCGTTCTGTTATCCCAAAACCATGTTTAGTTTTAGGCCTGAGGTATTCATCGTTGGACAATCCTATCACATCTAAACGATTTTCTTTACGATACTGTAAACAACGGCGAATGAATTGCTGAAATGAATAAATAATAAAAAGGAATATTAAAGATAAAATATTAAAAATAAAAAGAATACCAACCTTTGCTTCATTGCTGACTGGAGGTTTAGAGGCAAATTCGACTTCTGTAGCTTTTAGGATAGTATTCTCTTCCAAGATAGTCGCTTGTGATTGATTATGACCAAACGGTTTCTTTCCATATAAACATTGATAGAATATAACACCAACACTCCAAACCTGAAAGATAGATTATAGTTGAAATAATATTGATTTGAAGAAATTAAAAAAAAACTTACATCAACTTTGGATGAAATTTTCGGAGGATTTTTGCCAACAACAAAGCATTCTGGTGGTAAATACCAATAAGTACCGGCACCTTGACTTGTCAAATCCATTCCATTTTCCGGTGAATAATTTTCCTCGTCCATTATTTTTGAAAGACCAAAATCGGTAATTTTAATTTCACCGGAAAGTGTTCCAGAACTTAATAGTATGTTTCCTGGTGAATATAAATTATTAAAATAATCATTTTTTCCAATGAATATGTGAATGACATTATTACCAGGTTTAAGATCATAATGAATGATTGGTGGCTTGATCTCGTTCAGATATCTGAGTGCATGTACCACTTGCATAATGATTGAACGAGCTTCACGTTCAGGAATGCTTTTATGTTGTTTTAAATAAAAATCAAGATCATGACCATCACAGTATTCGAGGACTGTACAGAATGAATTGGCATCAATTTCAAATACATCATACAATCGAACCACCCGTGGATGATCCAATTGTTTGTGTATGTTATATTCTCGTAATGCATGTTTGATATAGTTGGCTTTCTTATCATCTTTCCATTCTTTATTCAATTGATGTATCTTACAGGCAACATAACGTTGTTCTTTTAGATCGAATGCTTTATGTACTTCGGAAAATCCACCTATAATATATGTCGATTAAAAGGATTGAGAATGGTAATTTTCTAAAATGGATGACAAAAAAAATATACAGACCTTTACCCAATAACATGAGTAATAGAAATCGATCATTTAATGTAGTATGATTATTGAACCTTGATTGATCTTCATTATGGATGCGTTTCAATTCACGGATATGTAAATTTCTCTCACGTTCAAGCTTTTCCAATTCCAATTGTAGATCGGTATCTTCTTTTTTCAATGCTTGAGATCGTAGCTTGAGAATTTCATCTTGTTCATAATATTCGTACCAATTCATTTCTTTTGGTGATTCGGGTTTAGCGAATTCACCATTTGAATTATCACCATTCGAAGAAGACTTTGATTTGCCAGTAGTTAATGGCCGTTTTTTCATCAACATTTTACGTTGTCGCTCAATTTCTTCTCTAGCTGTTGCAATCTGTTCTTGTTTTTTGATTAATTCTGTAAATGCGGTACCATCGACCCAATTTTCGGCAAATACAGCTCCTAAAAAGTACAAATGTTAGAAAAGTTTTATCATCATTTTCAATAAAATAATACATCATCATCACATACCTTGTCTTTGGGTTACAAACTGACCAAGTCTCAATCGATTTTGCATGCATTTCTGCCTTGCTGCTTTCTTCTCCATCAGGCTTTTCTCTACCAATAATTGCTTGGTAACATCAATACATTTGTTAAGTCGAGATTTTTGGGATTCATTTTCTTCGCGATATACTTTGACTTGTCTCCTCAATTCTTCTATAGAACGTGTCAGCTCTTCAATTTTATTATCACGTTGCTCAAGCTCGGCAGCATAATGTTCATCTTGATTGATCAATTTGGACATTGTAAGATCGGTTTGAGTAGACGATGATACCATATTTTTCGTATTATAGCTCATATTTGGATTGTTGATGGAATTTAGATGCTGCAAATGATTCGCCGTAGAACCGGACACACGATTTTGTGGAGTCATAAAGGAGCTCGATATCGAATGCTGATGATGAATTAAACTGTGATCATTGGCAGTGGAGGCGGCGGACGTTGTCGCAAGTAGATTTGTCGAAGCACTAGTAGCCGTAGTAGATGTTGATGAAACAACTTGCTGTTGTGGATACATTGAATAGAATGGATGAGAACTGGACGTTGGCGATTTAGCGCCAGCTGCATTATATCGACTAGGGCTTGAATGATTCTGAAATGGAGAAAAGAATATTGAAATTAGTATATACAAACAAAAATGAAAATATCGTTTTGGGGGACATACTTTGAAATACTCGGTCACTTTTTTATTTGTTTCACGTTTGGAACTGGTTGAATTGCTACGTTCAGGTACCGTTGTTTCATTAGAATCCTTTTTCCTTCTTTTCCTTTGATTAGCATATGTGACATTATTGGCTCCGTTAGAGCCTGAGGGAGGCGTTCCGGTCGACACATTATGGTCTAATTGGCTTAATGAACGTTTCTCAGGCGTCACGGTTAGGTTATGAGAATGGATATTATCACAATGCATCGATGTTGGTTTATCTTGTTTATCGGAACAATGACTACCACCAGATGCAGTTGAAAGATTAGAGTCTTGATTATGTGAAGAGGAATGAGCAGAATAATGACATGACGATTGTGTTGACCCTCCTGAATTATTATTATTTGCCAATGAGTTAGAAGGATTATTATTATTATTACTATTGTTGGTATTATTATTTTTATTAATGTTATTGGCGTTGTTGTTGGCCACCGTCGTATTGACCAACGAAAACGATGGTGGAGGTACTGTCGATGGATTTAAGCCTTGAGCAGCAGCAGTTTGTTGCTGTGCTTGTTGTTGTGATGTCAGTTGTGGTTGACCACCTTGTTGCGGTGGTGGAAGAGGTTGAGGCTGTTGAGATTGTGATTGCTGTGGATTCAATGTTGAAGACAATGGCGAGCTATTTGGAGCGATAGGAATGCTAGGACTGGATGATGATGGATTGGAGTTTGTTGATGAAGATGTGGCCGAATGGATCTGGTGCTGTGGCTGCATCAATGATGATGGTGATGGAACCTTCGTATGTGGTGATACCAGATGAGCATGTGGCCCGGGAGGCGCTAATGGTGGATGATGTTGATTTGATAATGAATAAATGCTCGATGGATGGGTATTGGCAGCGGCAACGGTAACTGCTGCCGGAATATAATGAGGCGGTATCGATTGCTGTGATTGTGTACTATGATAACTACCAACAGTTGATAGACGTTGACTTGTGCCCATAAAACGAGCCTCGAGCAGCTCTTGTTTTCTTGGATCAATTGATGGATGATGATTAGATCCAGGCGCCGTTGTACTGGTTGTTGGCGCCGGTACCGGCTGCTGGAGGTTATGTTCCATGGCTGCAAACATCACCGAAGACAACATATCCACGAAATTATGTTGTTTTTTGCTGCAATTGCGAACTTGTGTTAGCTGACGGCTCTAAGAATCGAGTCGCCAAGCTCACAGGTCCACTATAATTTTTGAAAATAAATGATAAAATTGAAAAAAAAATTTATATTAATTTTCCGATAAAAATAAATATAAATAAACTGAGAAAAAGATGATAGTCTTAGTCTTTGACAACAATAATCATGACCATTATTATAATAATCGTTGGATGGAGTTGTCGTCGTCGTCATCATCATCATTATCATTTTTTGAGATAAATTTAAAACATCAACGATGAGGACAACATTCCTTTCAACACACACACACACACATACATAAAAAGAGAACTCACTAACAAACAACAAAGGTATACCAATCAATCGAAAAATGATAATGCGAAAAAAAAAGGAAATGGATAAAGCTGGAAATGAAATCAGATAATCAAAGGAAGAAAATAAAAAAAAAAAAAAAATATAAACAATACACGTATACAAGTCATTTAAAATGAGAAAAATCAACAACACACAATAATTTACTTAAACCCGAACAACAGAAAAAAAACAATCAACAAATTACCAGATCAAATTGAATCAATTTCAAAACATACAATTTTTTTTGCAATTACATACCGAATGCAACAATGTACATTATTATACACACACTAGATGGGAACCCAAATTCTAAATAAATGAATTTATTTAGTCAAAACAAGATGAACAGATTACAGAAAAAAAAATGGAAACTGAACAAAAAAAAATTGGTTAGGATGATTAACACAACCGATGTGATGGTGGCAAAATGATTGAATCAAAAACAACAACAACAAAAAATAATAATAATAATAATAAGACCACACATCGGAAAACACCAACACATAAGAAAATAACAAAATGGCGTCGAGTTTTTTTTTGTTTTGTTTGGCTCAACAACAACAACAACAACAAAAAACAACACATAGACAGTGCGACAACATTACATAGATTAAAGCTATAACCATACATACATTACAATTCATTCATCACAAAGTAATAAGGGAGAAAAATATAAAATCACAAGCAATAGCCAAAGCGCTATCCATTGGTTTTAATGTGTGTGTGTGTGTATATGCCAATACGAGAAAAGAAAAAAAAATGTGAATATACACGGCCTTTGAGCGAATTGAGTTTGTTGTTGGAGACACCATCGAACCAAACACACATATACAGATATTAAAGCGACAGAAGAAGATATAACAACAACATCAACATCATCATCATCATCATCGAAAAAAATCAGCATCGACAACAACAACAACAACAACAAATAAAACGAGGGAGAGAAAGAGCAAATGAGGAGCAGACGAAATATCGAAAAAAAAATTACTCACACCATCACTTCAATATATACCAAAATACTTTGGGATTGAGGAGAATATATGTGTGTGTGTAAAATAAACGTATGTAATTCACATATCATTGAAAAAAAAGTGAGCGACAGAATACGGATTTGATTGAGGAAGGAGGGAGGGAGGGTGTTTAAGTAAATTGTAAAAGGACATAGAGGAAGAAAAGAGTCAGGCCGTGTATTTTGTCGCTGTCAAAAAAAAAAAAAAAGAGGGAGAGGGAGGAAGTGAGAGAGAGTAAGTGAATTTTGAATGATGATGATGTCGTTATTATTATTATTATTATTATTATTATTACTGGATAGATGTGGATTGTTGAAAATGTTAAAACAGCAGCAGCAGCAGCAGCAGCATTAAAAAGCAGAAAAAAAGGCATATATCCATAGCCATTTTAGTTTCTGGTGACGAACCGAAAAATGTGAATTAGAAAAAGTGTGGAAGAAGATGATGATGATGATCATGAAGAAAAACGATCGAGTTGTTTCTCGAAATCCGAACAAACATAACAAAGTTGGAAAGTTTTCCAGACTTGAATTGGCCAGAATATTTTATATATGCATAAAATGTGATATTAGTAATCTATAAGTAAAGTTCATCCATTATATACACTGATAAATTCCATTCGGAATAGAATGATTTTCTATGTGAAACAAAGAATTTCACATATTACAAAAAAAAAACCGTAGTTATTTTTTTTTTTTTGTGTGTGTGTACAAAAATTGGATGTATACAAACATCAAACACTCGAAAAAAGAATGAAAATTGAAAAATTTAACAACACCTTCTATCGGTAGCCATTGGAAATTTCTTGTCGCATACGTTAAACTTGTAACAAAGACTGATTGGTAAAATATACCACCAAAGAGGGTTATGATAATTGACGGAATTAGTGATAAAGTCTCTACATACGTTGAACGTGTATAACACACACACACACACACACCGATCATCCATAGAGACCTGGAAAAAAAATGATCGGCCTGAAACAAAAACAAAAGAAAAAGAAAACAAGAAATAAAATTATGGACCAAAACAGGCATTTAAAAAAAAACCGAAAGTAAACTATTTAGAAAATGAACGAAAAACAAATGTTGCATTACGATTCAAGAATCGACTACGACGACGACTACTCTACTGAAGGGACCGAAGACAGGCTTGGTGGTCTTGGTCTGTGTGTATAGCTCTATAGTTTTATAGAAATGTTTCTAGGTCCAAAGAAAGTTTTCATTTTATTTTTGTTGGAAAAAAGGTAACTTTCAAAGATTTTTTTTGTTGATTTGATTGGTTGTTTCCATGGTTGATGATGAACGTGATATATATGAGTGTTTGTCGTATTTGTTTTCATTATTATTATTATTACAATGATTATATTTGTATTTTATCATTGTAAATGATCTATATGTATCTGTGTAATAATGATATTATATCGAAAATTCACATATATTTTCATCATAATAATAAATAAAAAATATAATACAACAAATCCATTGACAATGATGATAATTATAACAATGTATAAATGTAAAATATATTGATGATGATGACAATCATTTATCTTTTCCCCTTATAGAATGGGATATATCCAACAAATCTGCCATCTACATAGATTTATACGCATCAAAATTTCCCATTGCTCATCAATTGTTAAATGAAAAAAAAAATTATCCATAACTTTATGAATGAATGAAAAAAAAATGTATGAAACTTGACCGGACACTATTCACCATCATTGTGGCCGGTTAAGTTTGAGTTTTTAAAAAAAATCTTGTTTACGTGGCATTTTTCATTTCAATTCAACAATATATTAATCCTATCAAATGTTAACCCTTATTCTTTCATTCAACGGAAAAAGAACAGGTCGTCTGTTTTTTGAGTTTGTTATATTTTAACTTCTGGATGATGATAATAATAATAATAATAATACAGCCAAGCACCCAGCAATATTATAAACAGAAAAAAAACAAAAATTGATTTGAGACAAACTGATTTAGTTTAAAAAACAGTATTTGATATGGATAAAGTGAGGTAGAAAAGAGAGAGGTCTGATAAGCTATAAACCGATCGGCTCAATTATATATAAAAGACACTGTTGTGGATAAATGCATAAGAGGGTCATCATCATCATCATCATCATTGGCAAATTTAACCAAACCAAAGATGTTACGATTACGTTCACATTGAGAAAAAAGATCATGATTGTTGTTGTCGTGCTCAAATCTTTTCAATTCAACATTCTCTGATGATGAACCAGCACTAACAAAAATATGTAACTCTTTGCGACCAGAACACATCATCACCACTCGTGTGGAGAAAATTTTGACGAGTATAAACGATGGAAAAAAAACCAGCATAACTGGCCAAATTTCTGAATAATTTCTTTTTCTTTATATTTTACTCAGTTGTTCTATCATCATGTTGATTTGAAATTGGAATCAAAAAAAAGTCCATATAATAACAACAACAACAACATCATTATCATCATCGTAATAATAACAGAAACAAGAACAACAACAACAACAACAACACTAAAGAAGACGCCTACGATTGGCGTCAGGTCATCAATAAAGGATGATGATGCTCGTGATGATGAGGCATATCTAGTAGTAAATAATAAAAAAGTTGAAAAAAAGGTATCTCCTCTCATCATCTCCTGATTCGATTGATGATAATATTAGATCCATATACTGGTTGTATATTGGTTTTTTTTGACATCATCATAATCAATATCATCATTTGACACCTAGAACGGAAAACGCCCCCTTCCCCATACTACTATAATGTAATATAATGGAACGATTTCATTAAAGTTTTTTAGTTGACATTCGTATAGTGTAAATGAGAAAAAAAAATTCTTTATTGAAAACTCTCTATTGTCACCATTAGAAACAAAAATGATGATGATGATGATGATGGTCATGGGTGTATTGAAAATGTTGCCCAAAGACCGGATTTAACGATTTCTGGTTTCGCTTGATTACATTCACTCATGCACACACACACACACTCATACACAAACATAAGCATATATATTCATACAAAAAAAATGGACAGACAGAAGTAAAAAAGATAGATAGACAACACACATCTTGTTGTAATCAAAATGTAATGTTCACTATCTATCTATTCATTCATCCATCCGATTTTGGTTTGTATATATGTTATATATGTCTATATGTATGTGTTTTATTTTATGGCAAACAATTGTTCATTATTGTGTGTGTAAAAAATGAACGATCTTAGAGCAAAAGAGAAAAAATAGAATTCAAAGATGGAATTAATTCATCTAATGATGAATGAATATACATACTACGAACACCACAAGCTGTAAATTGTCTACAGACTTGACATTTTCACCATTTTCATTCAATAATAATGACAATGATGGTCATTATTATGGAATGATGATGATAATTATACTTTAGTTTATTTTTTAAAATTATATAAATGTAATAATCAGAAAAATTTAATAAAGAGGGGGGAGCTCAAAGCTGTGTTAGGACAAAGGTCAACACATGATGAAGATTGAATGAACATCATGACTGTATGGAAAACATATACACATTTTCATCAAGAATAATGATGATATCAATGAAGATTATTATTATGAATAAAAAAAAACAACAAGGAAAATTTGCTTAATTTCATTGATGACGCCAATGATTGCAATGATGATAAAGAGAGAAAAAAAATACTACAACATAG